ACCATTTTCCTATAACGAAATCGTGCAGAACGTTTGATTGGAGTCACTGAATCAAATGTGTGGGTTTGGGTGACAGATAAACTTTCACCCTATGGCCTCGACATATTTAGATCATTAAAAATATGACACATGGCTAAATCTGTCTTCCATTTACTTTGCTCTATAGCTGAAAGTGGTTAACAGCAATTCAGCTTTGGAATATGAAGATATTGAAGTTGTCCATGATAATCCGGAAATTGTACAAAATGGTTTGCTATTCGATGCTGAAAATGACAACATTTACGTCATGAGCAAAAGACAGGTGAGTACCGTGATGTTCAAATGTCAGTGCGGCCATAGTTAATTTGTTTCATAAGATGTGCCTTGTAAGCACAAACTTTGAGCAACATGTGTTCATGTTATATAACTTTGTTGCATTAATTTTTGTCGTTTTGCATAGTTTTAATGTGCTCCCCTGAAGCAGTAGAGAATATGTTGAGACCATCAGCAAAAATGTGAAAAGTGCTTTATCATTACAATATTATTCTAATTGTGTCTGAAAACAAGAACATCTAAATCGAGTTCAAAATGCATTAGGAAACCATCGTTCAACACATTTTCAAGAATGAATGGGGCATCATAATGCATCGACTTTGTATCTGTTCAGATCACTAAAGTGCCTGTCGAGAACTGTGAAAATTTTACAACTTGTGACGATTGTCTTGAAGTTAACGGTGTTGGAGATCCATACTGTGGTTGGTGTACGCTGGAAAACAGGTTTATAGTGTTACCCTTACATGCTGATGAGTTTGTTCTTCTCGTTTTCTGTGTTCTCTTATTTGATTAGCATACATATTTGTAACGATCAAAGTCCACTTCTTTCCAGTTGAGATACTTATGTTTTTTTCTTGGTAGGTGCTCAAGATGGAATGTTTGCCAGGGCCACACAGTTATATCTGATAATAGATGTATTGTCGATTTTCAATGTCCAAGCGTTGATGTTGATCCGGGTACTGTGGATTGGGACAAAATGGTGTTAGTAAGTGATTTATATTAAGGATTAACCATAGTTTTGTCAGAAGAGAAATGAAAACACCAACGACGAAGCCTTTCCTGCAAATGACAAGGATCAATTCATGTTGTTAAAAATATAGTATCTAGAAACATTTTTAGTATGAAAACGTACTTCGATATTGATTAAGATTAATGGTATTTTTTCAGTTGACGCTAAAATTAACCCGTTTACCACAGTCTCTGAGTGGATTTAAATGTGTATTTGAAACTATTGGTACAACAAATGCGGCCCCGACTGACGAAAGTAACGTTTTGACTTGTACAACTCCTCCACCGAGTAACATACCGTCACCTGGAAGCAGAGGTACAGTTAGTTTTTGTTATTTGTATAAAATTATCGATGGCAGTAAATACATAAATATAAAATGAATGAATATTGTGCATTGATGGCAATGTGTATTTATAATGGATATATTTCTTATTTTATTTGTAACCATATAACTATTTTTTTTAGGTTTCCTCAAAGTGAAATTGTCAATATTATCAGAAGAAGTCAATGACAAATTTGTCAGTACTGATTTTTATTTTTGTGATTGTGACTCCTTGAAGACGTGCATGACATGTACTGAAAACAACTGTGGTTGCGATTGGTGTGTTTTTGAAAATATTTGTTCTAAAAATGTCAGTTCCTGTAAAATTGAAGGTGTTGTCAGAGGCAATGCAGTAAGTACAAGTTCCCCTCGATAATTAATGATTGTGTTACCCATGTTGCATTATATAACGTATAATGTTAGGCAATGTGGTAAGTACGATTTATGTAATTATTAGCTGCTGGATTTATGAACATCAATTACGTTTGTCAATTAAAATTGCAGTAAAATTGTATGATACCATTACATCTACAATAATCTACTTTATGTGTAACATTTACGTTAATTTGTTTTAAATATCTTCTCTTTTATAGAATGAAGCTAATAGTTCTCAGCAATGTCCGCAAATTAAGGAAAGTGCTGAAACAATAATTCCTGTTGATTTGCCTGAAGAGTTCTATGTTGTTGGGGAGAATTTTCCACAACCTTTAGTAAGTTAATGTCTGACATGAATTGTTTGTAATCAATAAATTTCAAATTTGTAAAGAAATTATGTTCAATTCAGTTTTCAAGTAATCAGAATTCGATTCAACACAAAAATAATTTTGGTCGTCGGAGTCATATTGTAACGTTTATCTGTCATCACGATAGGATGGCCAGACTGGGTATGAATGTATTCTACATATAGAAGGGGTGGAAGTCATTGCCACAGGAGAACGAGAAAGTGCAGAGTGCATTAAATGCCGGAGTTACAAGGTATGCTGTGACATACAAATTTAACTGATTAATTATATACTATCTGTACATGCAATTAGTGTCACTACAGTGCAGTCTGTCTACATCTAAAAGTCTGTTCTACACAGTTTTGATAACAGTGTATGTAACGTAACAATACAAAAAACAATGGTTTCTAATTAGTGAATTATAAGGTTACTTTACTGCTATTTGTTTAAAATATTATTTATTGATGTCAAATTGTAGTATTTCTAGATGCTTCAGTTGTGTATTGCGAAACATGTTTTAAATTGTACTTGCTTAACTGTCCTATTACAACCCCAACTGACTGATTCCATCAAAGATAAAAAATACTTGACATCATGTTGAAGGTGTTGTTTATTTGCAGTACATGTATTCGGAAGACGTCATCAGTAAATTAGTCACCTTACAGTTGAAATGGAACAACGATTTTGAAATTGACAATCCGGATAACATCCAAGGTGAGAAATGCATATGCAAATATTACACTTACATATAGTTCGCTGCATTATGACAAATTTTCAATTATCGACAATTGATTTTAATTTAAAACGTATCAGAAGTACTATTTGAATTGCATTCCATGCATAAAGGTGAAATTCTAATAAATGTGTATTTAATTTTATTTCCCGTCAGTTAATCTGTACAAGTGTGATGTTGAGCGTCCTAATTGCGGAATTTGTCAGCAAGCTGAGTTGAAATACCAATGTGGTTGGTGTAATAATGTAAATGAGCAGAAATGTACGGTGGTCGACAAATGCAATCCGGAAGATTCTTGGTTGACAAGGGAGGACATTTGTCCTAATCCAACCATTACTAAAGTAAGTAGCCTTTAATAGCGAATATCATTTTGGTCTAGCAAGAATTACATAAATGATTTGCAAGGCCAATTTATATTTTACGTACAACTTACGTTATTGTTTGCAGATAAATTACACACGGTTTGCAGATATTGGAGGTTATAAACGGCAAGCAGAATATTTAGTACTGGCCAACCTCTCTAAAGCTATGCGCTACAAAACAGCTGTTTATATAACGTTATTATAACATTGTAGATATTGGGTTTTGACATTCTGATAATTTTTGTAGAATTTACCAGCGGCGCAGTGCGCGTTCTAATACCTTGTTCACATGTGTGCTAAAAAGCTAGTTTGGAGTCCAGTTTTGTAATTGTACCAGGTACCCCTGATCAGTTGATCATACACTCAATATGAGCAGTGCTCACAGTCGTGTCATCTTGATTCAGTTAGACATTTAAGCCAGCTTATTCTGGTTTAGGACAGGACCACATGTCTTTCAGTGCCAGATGTAAGACCTTTCTTCAAGCCTTTTCTTTACGGACGGAAGCGTTACTGATATTTGGTAAAGACTGATAAAAACAAAAGATTGTTTGTGGCCCTGGTATTTTGGCTTTTTTTATTGTGGTGTGAAATATTTGACTTTTAAAACGTCAACATTAAACGCATTAAATTCGTCATTACCATCAACCATTGTCCTTCGCATATTACCCTTTCTGGAAAAAGTGTACATATTACAATGTGTCATCTATTGTAGATTAAACCAGAAGCGGGTCCTATTGAAGGGGGCACAAGACTGACAATCATGGGGAGTAATTTAGGAACGAATTCGTCTAATGTTAAACATATTGACGTCGCCGGACTAGAATGTCTACCACAGACAGATGGATATAAGATTGCAGAACAGTACGTTTCAGTTGAGTTCGTAATGATTTCTAATAACAATATACATTTAATCATACTGACAATACTAGTAACACTACACATATTTTTACACCACCCCGGGTGACTGGTGTCACACACTTAACATGAAGACTAAAACAAAGTGGTATTACAAAAATTATCTAGTGTTATAAAGAATGACGTATATTCTCGATCAATTGACGTAGTATTTTAAGTCAGTTGTAGTTGATGTAGTACACCTCTCATATTAAGCTTGGAATTTTTCACATGGGCAACTTTATCAGCTGTAGTAGTAAGTAATAACAATATTGATGTTGTCTAATTTCTAACAGAATACAATGTCTCACTAGTGCTAGTAATGGTATTCAATCAGGTCATGTCTCCATAACTATTGGAAATAATCAAAGGTCGTACAGCGGGGTTTCAACTAGTCAGTTCTCTTATGTGGTAAATACTTATAACTGTATTATAATTATTACATGACATTTATCATGGACTTCGTTACTACTTTTATATATTACTCTATTGTGTTTGTATTATTCTCTAATTTTCCCAAATCCCGTGTGTTCACAGCAATGATGAGCAATATATATTCGTTCAACAGGTGGTCAAAATATATTATATTTTCCCGATGAAAGGTGCACAGTCTGGCGGAACCAAGGTCACGGTAGTTGGGGAAAATCTGAACGCAGGTAGTAATATAACGGCAACAATTGCTGGGTTGAAGTGCTGTGTTACAGAGTAAGTACGATCTTACGAATCGACTTGCTATGTTACAGATTGAGTGAATTGTAGAACTTACGAATGGACTACAATATTACGATAACATGTTTGTAAAAGTTGCGTGTATTTTCTCTTTATGACACGTAGACGCGGCCGTCCTTTACTGTGTGCCACAAAACGAGAAGTTCAGATTTCCGGTTTAAACTGGCAGCTACTAATGTATACTTAATAGTTTCTTACTTAATAGATTTAGTTTTTTTGTGTGTTAGTTGACTCCTGTGTAAATGACGCATTAAAATATA